GAAAGCAGGAGTCGTCAAAACGCTTATAATTAACATGTCGACCGCGTCACGTTTACGAATTTTAGTATCCTGAGTCTGGCCGCGCGAACGAGAAACGAGCCAATTGTTAAAATCCTTTTGGACGCCGGGGCGGACGTAACGAAGGTGAACGTCGATGGCACGACGCCCCTCCACTTTGGCGTCTGGCTCCGTACCTCCGACCTGACGCGGGCGATGATCGCGCGGGGTGCCGACGTGAACAGGCAGGACGCCGACGGCTTTGCCATCCTCCACGAGGCCGTATACGAGGGTAACATTCACCAAGTGCGGATGCTGTTGGAGCACCGGGCGAACATATCAATCAAGACACTGGAGGGCGATACGCCATTACATTGGGCGGCATTCGGCAATACGAGCGACAGTCACGAGATCGTCGAGCATCTGCTAACGAACGGCGCGGACTGCAACGACGGTAACATCGACGAGACGACGCCCTTTCAGTTCGCTCTGAAGAAGAGCGATCGCGAGCTCACGCAGCTTTTCTTGAATCACGGCGCCAACGTCGGCGTCGTAAACTTCAAGGGCGAGACGTCGCTGCACTTCGTCGCGGAGAATCGCCACGCCAATGTAATAGAGCGCCTCCTCCAGTTTCAATTGAATGTCGAGGCCCGAAACGTCAACGGCTTCAGTGCCCTCCATTACGCCGCGGAATCGGGGAACGAAGAGGGTTGCGCCGTCCTTTTGAAGTACGGCGCCGATATCGAGGCCAAATGTAACGTCGGCAGGAGCCCCTTGTACCTGGCCGTGAGGATGCAGCAGGAGCAGGCCATCAGGCTACTGCTCGAACACAGGGCCAATGTTTTTGCCAGAACGATAACAGGCGAGAGCATCCTGGACGTGGCGATCGAGCACGGCGACGGACGTTTAAGCCACGTCCTATTGCAGCACATGGCCAAAATGGAGAGTGTCGGTGTCAAGCTGGACGAAGAGGATCGGCTTGCCATCCAGCATCGCGAGGATCTGCACGTTTACTATCAGCGATGTATCCACGAGCTGGGAAACTTGCGCCGGAGGCTAGTATATAACGAGATCTCCCTTTTCGATTTACTTGTAGCGAGCACGAAGATCCTTTGCGGCTACGCGAGGAACGAAGAGATGGTGGCCGCGTTCAAGGAATTCGAGACTGAAAAGTTCGAGTTTCCCATATATTATGAGGCACTGGCGCGTCGCTTTAATGCTGAGACGAGGAAGCAGTATTTGTTGTGGAACGCTGCTTCGATTCTCAGTGATATTTTTCACTTTAACGATCCGCTGCATATCGCTAATCAAAAGATCCTTAGTTATCTTACAGAGAGCGACTTGCAGTATTTCCTTCGGTAATGCGATGGACCAGTGTTTCTCATCGTTGTAAATATATCCTCCGTGTGCGATAACGTGCTTGGCATCACTATGATCTCCAAACGAATGTACCAAAGTTACTTATTAAATAGCTTTTAGTAATTGTAGCGATACTGACTTTGTAGCGATATTTATTATGTGGCAAATGTTTACTTGCCGAGCGTTGACGTTATTGTTTTGTCTTTATGTAAATTTGTATATTATAAATTTGAACGATCCAAAGATTTGATATTTATTCGCGATTATAAGGACACTTTATTTTGTACAGTTTGACGTCCCAGTTGTATAATATTTATTATGTATTACACCCTTCGACCATAAGACCATAGAAGACTATAATAAACGTATTGACTTTCAGTATAATTCTTTGATTTTATGGCCCCAAACAAATAATCCTGCTTCCCCTTGTACATTTTCAAATTATTAAAGTAAGTTTAAGGATAATTTCGTTTTAATTGAATTTCTTCGTAATTCTATAAACTCGAATTTCTTCGTAATGCTGTAAACTTGAATTTCTTCGTAAGACAGTACGCAGAATGAAAAATTAATAATATAACGGGGAAAACCCCGTTTCAAATCAAGGACAAAGTGGAATGGGTAATGAAAAAAAAATTAAATAAGGAATTATAATTTTGCTTTATAAATTAAGTCTTTTTTATTCAATCTGCCGTTTACATTTCATTAATAATTAATTTTACCATATATATATATATATATATATATATATGTATATATTATTAAACCTTTTTTTTATAATTTATATTCTATTTCATGTAGTACAAACATTCATGTAAACTAAATATACTTAGCAATTTTTAAGTTGGGTTCGCTTCAGAAATTTGGAACACGATTTAAAATTACTTATCGTCCTGGGTTAAAAATATTCATCGTCAATGAGAATGAATTACATTTCAATTTTAATACATTAAGTCGTTATTATTCTAGCTTTTCAAATCTAAATTTATATAAACAAATGATTACATGTAAAAATAATATGTATGAAAGCATATCCATGCAAGAATAAAAATGACAATAGCGTTACGATAGAAAGGTATTCGATTCAATTTATGATTAAAAATTTGAGTATATTACGTCCATTCATTACCTAATAAGCTGGTCTCGCAAATAATCTATCTTGCGTTTTTTTTTTACCTTAAACAATAGTAATGGAATATTATAATCTGTATAATGAATGACGCGTTATTTTAAGACAATTAATTTACGAAAATATTAAATAAGTCTAGTACATAATTTACATTCACAGTGGCACTCAAATAATATGTTAGATAATTTTGAAATTATTCCGGTTAGCATTTAACATTTGGTTTTCTTATTTATACACCACTGGATTACCATTTAAATATATATATATATATGAATAAAGTATACCGTTTAATATAATCCAGAGTATTTATAAAACGATTGTTTCTACATAGAAATGTTATGAACAAATTAATACACAACACACCCATCTACGCACAACGTATGCACGTGTCCATGCATGTATGTATGAGTATGCGCGCGTTTGTGCGTGTATGCATCTATGCACGCGAGTACGTATGAATATGTATTATATGAAATTTCAATGTACATGCTATTTTACTTATTTAGTAGAATTAAATTTTGACAATTGCTTGCTTTGTTTATAATTTATAGAACAATAAAGCTATTTAATATTAATATATTAATAAAGCTTGTTCATGTTTTATGATAAAAGCTTTTCAAATTCATTTATTTTGACGTAATATACGCTACAAGCATACAATATTGCCATTATTATTCATTAAATTTCCTTTGCATTATATTTGGCTATTAGGTCCAATTCATATTTCAGAGATAACTAATTCAAGGCATAAAATAACATTTCTTTTACTAATAAAATATTTCTTCTTTTATAACATTTCATCTTATTTATTTGTACTAAATTTCCTATTTCATTTGGATCAGTATGACTATTCCCTAATGTTCATAATTAATCATAAGTTATTTCTGAGAATAGGACACAGAGCTTTCCTGCACTGTTGCGTATCTATTAACAATAATTTTACAAAACGTGATTGTTAACCTGAAGATTCTTAAATAAAATGAACATTTAATAATGAAAATGCTATAATTTGAAAACCATGCAATTTAAATGGATGAAAGGGTAAAATTAACATTTATTAGTTAGCCATGTTGATGATATTGGTAAACAAACTACATTGACATATAAAAGTCGATATAAATTTTTATCGAGAAGCCAAATGAGAAATTATTCTACTGGAGTAACTAAATATTTTTTTCATTAGCTTTTATTTACTGTAAATCGGCAAGTCATATCTTATAAAAGTGTTTATACGACATTCGGTCGTCTAAATTCGTTATCGTTGTAAATTACCAGGTAAAATGAGTTTGAATTACTTACAAAGTCACAGTAATATCGTTTATTGTACTAATGAATTACGAGATTAAATAGAGTGTAAAATAAAATTTTCGATACACTTGTGAAACATATCACTATTATTATTTCCAAGATGTATTTTCATTTTAAATTGCTTTATTAAATCTTTGATTCTTGATTAGAAATATTGTATGTCAGGAAATTTTCTAAGGCAACGGAATCGCTTACTAATAAACCTTATCTATTAACGATACTTTACCAATAATATTAGACATTATCCCGCGAATCGATCACCGTTCATATTATATATTTACTGTATTTTATATTATATGGTAATAATTATTTTCCAACTCCAATAAATTAATTTTCCATGGAATAATCGTTTTATAGCTTACAAAGTTGCATTATATAAGCATCAGAGAAAAGTGAAATTTTGTAATAAAATAAAAAATAAAAAGAAAAAAAAGAAAGAAAAGAAAGAAAAAAAAGAAAAAAAAATTCGTCTTAGGAAGAAGTTAAATCAATAAATTTCTAATTAATCATCAATACATTAAATTTATAAAGAGCTTCCTTTGGACATCAGATTATTCACTCCGACAAAGAATGCAGGCGTATTCTAAAAGAACGACGACGACTGATAATTAATTAGCAGCCTCAATTTGTGGTCCCTTCTACTTCGAGGGCAACACGTTAATCGAAGAAGGGAAATGAATGGCAATGCGATAAAAGAAAGATCGGCGATTTTCTTCAAATACGAATCTTAATAGTGAAATCGACGCAGTCGGCGGCGCTCGTAAGGCTAATTTTGCGCGCCTTTTGTGATCGCTCGGCGACGATGTGCTGACTCGCGGCGCCGGCGTTCCTAGCGTTAACGAGGACGTGATTGGCCGCTAGCTGTTTTCGCGCTTCGTTAAAGCCGATGACCCGATCGAACATCTCTCGGAAGCTGTTACTTTTGACGTGGCGCCCTGGAAAACAATGCGACACAGCGCGTTGGTTTTGTGAGAGGATGGGCGCTTGACAGGTGGTTGCGGCCCTCGGATATTTAATTCCTGGGCAATTGCGTATGAGGACTTTTATAGCTTTTGGGTATACTGAAATGAAATGAGAATTACGTCGAACGCGATGGAGCAGCTTGGCTAATAATTAACGAGTTGAAGATTCGAATGGATCAGAGATTTTCGGGCGATGATAATTCACGACTCTGTTGTCAAAATGCTGGCATTACACTTTTCAAAGTAGGCGACTTGGTGGAGCTAATGCTTTTGTTTAAAAACAAAAAATGAAAAATTATTCATTTATTATATATAGGGAGATATTACGCACTGCCAGGTAGCATTATATCAATAATTTCACGGTTTATAATGTGATAATTCATTGGAATATTAATTTAACTTGCATAATATTTTGACAGTTATATTGTAAAAGGTTTTTTTTTTTTATTTTATTTTATTTATATTAATTATATTAATATTGCTTCTAAATTATAACCCGTTCTTCGGGATAGTGTACAAATAAATTTTATAATGAACTCCAATAATGTTGCTTAATTTTCTCCACAAACAATACTGTACGTAAATTATAATGTAATATATAATTGAAAAAAATAAAATAATGCTATCCGGACATATCTACTTTGTTGATAATAATCATAGTAAACACCGAGTTTCCGAGTGTAATATCCAAACAATGACAGTCGTGTAAACTTATTAAAATCTTCATAATTATTGTCTATTAATAGACGATGTAAGATATCAATATTTATATATTGTTCGTCAATAAATTTCTGTTTCGTTTGAAAAAAGCTTATCGTTTATTAATGAATTTTTAATAAAAAAAAAAAACCTTCATTATAAATTAATAAAAATAATTTTTTCTCATTTTAAGTTTTTAAATTAAAATATGTTTTATTTTATAATTTTATGTAAAAATTATATTTCAGTATACCCATTGTCAATATTATATTATATATTCAAAATATATTCAAGTAGTTGATAAAAATTTATCAATCACTTTAAACATTTCGAATTTAATAAATACATACATTTTATACTCATTAAATGTAATAAATAAATAAATAAATAAATAAATAAATAATAATAATAATTAATAATAAATGACATAGAACAGTGAAGTTGTAAATATGCCCTATATGTGCATATTCCTTCAATTCAAATTTTTTTTTTCTTTTTTTTTTTTTTTAAGTAAAAGTTTTAATACATTAACATTTAACTAACATTAATGTAAAAACGCATTATTTGACGAATTTCTAAACAAAATTAAGATGAAGTTGATAAGCAACATATATAATATCTATGTAGCATCATTTAATTTTTTAGTGAGATCGTATATGTATGGTCTTATTTATTTTACTAATACGTCTTATTTTAAATGTAACATTTATTTTGCACAAGTATGAAACAATAGAAACTACATTAAAGAAAAAAGAGAAAAAAAAATGTTTGGACCTAATAATTGTTTATAAGCTATATATTTATAATACAAACATCCATTTATAATAAAATAATGTGATGAATTTTAATGACAGGCAATGATCAATACAAATTCATTCACAAAATAATATCAGTAGCATAAAAAATGAGAAAGGTCATTCTGTCATCGAAGCACCATTTTTCTGGTTTTTTTTTGATGTGTATTAATAATGCGCTATTGTGTTACAAAAAATTCCGTCGATCAGGCAGATAACATAGACACATAAATTTGTAAAAACATTAGCTATCAATTTTATACCCATTTTGTTATTTGTAATGTTAGAAAATTAAAATATTAGCAATTGAAATTACCATGCAACGATAGGGAATTATAATATATATATATATATATATATATATATATATTTAATAAGGATAATATGGGGCGAGTTTTTAATTGCCTCTATATTTACATACATATGTGTGTTGAATTAACATGTGATTATTATTTATATGTAGAATATGTTAAAAGATTTTGAGAATCTGTAATCAACATTGGCACTTATATTAGTTAAATTTTTAATGATAAATACATTCAATGTAATATATATTTTTTTTGTTTTTTTTTTGTTTTTTTTTTTTGTTTTTTGAAGCGTAAAATAACACTATTTTTAATTCCAATATATAAGAAAGTCTATGTTTTTACATTAAAATTCATCACTTTTTATAAGGAACAATTATTTAATGATTAACATTCTGTTTGAACAGAAAAATATATAAATTACCTACATTCCATTCGACCTACATAGCCATATTTTAACAATTATCTACATCATATACATTCCGTAATAACGTGCGATAATTATTCTAATTCAGCAACATTATGAAAGTTACTCGACTATTTTGCAATTAATTTCGCAATTAATAGTTATTATATTTCAATCACGTATATTTAATATATAAATTGTATAGCATTAATTATCTAAGACTTGTATATTGACATGTGTTCAGGATTGTCATTTAAACTCGTCGATTTTTATCATAGTTCTTAAAAATTATTAATTCATTTCTAAAAATGTATGCACTTTCCATAAGTTTGATGATTGGCACAAATTCATCAATACTTTGGTAATAGATACCATTCGCATTCCAATTCCGTCGTCCTTTAATTCTTCTTTTAATCACAATCCATAATCAGTTTTATACAAATAAATTATAACGATTAGATGCACTTTAGATTTTATGTAAGAAAGCGACGTTAAGTCACAAAATTCTTTACATTATTTTAACAATTAAAATTTTAAATATAAATAAAGAGCATTCAAATAGCTATTATTTTCTTTAATACGATTTCATTTGGCATTATTAACTATTTTATGTGTCTAAATTTGATTTCAATTTATAATACAAAACTAAAAAAAACTAAGAAAAAAAAAAACAAAGTAAAAGTTAAATAATATTTATAAAAAATTCGGAATTGGTGATAAAATAGAATAATTTAACTCATCGCTTTAACTGTTAAATCAGCATTTTCATTAGTTGTAGCTTTTTTAGCTATAGAAATTTCAATAAATGATAATATTTTTGTACTTACATACAATATTCGCAACAATAGTCTATTAAATAATTAACATAAATAACTGTCAATAAATAAATATAGAAAGTATTATCTATATGATATATTCTATGTACAGATCAATTTACTTTCCGTTCGCAGTCTAATGTTAAAAAATAGACTTTTAAAATTTAAAACATTTGAATTGATTGCTGTTTGCTTCAGTACTAAGCTTTTGCACTTGAGCTGAATTAATATTTTATTTGTAATTAGATATGGGCAATTTTTCATTCAATGTTTTTCATAATCGCTAATTATGTCGCTATTATATCGCTATTATATTTTGTTCAGCTTTAGCTATAATTAAGTTTGTGAAATTTGGGATAACAACCTTTTATTTAATGAATAATTTGTTCAATCACATCGTTCAGTACTAACTTCTTTTACGCAATAAAATAAATTAAACACTTTAATACTACCTAGTTTAATAAGCGGTAATTTATAATTACTACAAATCCATAAACATTCAATTTGATTAAAACGTCATGTTCAAGTAATTTCAATCTGTAATCACTTAATCACTAAATTATACCAACAGCTTTCTAAAATATTCCAATAAATTTACGTAAAATGTGGCACATGATAACTGAACTCGTGAAACGGATATTTTTTAAGATACTCACTGTATATATATATATATATATATATTTGAATTTTTCCCTAATAAAATTGACGTGCATCATCTTTTATTTTTTTAAAATCAATTATTAAATGTATATTAAAATATCTTATTTATTGTTTAATCACATTTGGATTTAGGTTATTGTATGCAAATATGAACTCGAATATAATTATAGTTACCGCGTAATCATATTATGAACATTATATAGGAATTGCAGAAGAACTCTAAACAACGGTTTAAAAAACTAAAAAAAAAAATATTTTATCCCGAGCATTATAAAGTTAAGATATGTATTTTATTGTGAAAATTTGTGATTTCATTTAAAACATAATAATGAGAATGTTGGAAATAAATGATACCACTGCAAGTGTATAAAAGTGTAATACAATAATATTTATAATAAACATTTTCATGTCAGTATTATTTAATTAAGTTAAATGTTACCGATCTTTCCAACTAATCCAACATATCAATATTCTATTTAATTTAAAGGTTTTTCTTTTTCTTTCACAAATTTAATTCATATATATATATATATATGTATATATATATATATATTGAAACGAAAGTGACGAAATCAAATCTATAAAATAATTTCGCGACTATTATTGCCCACATCCTCATCCTATAAAACAGTTTCCTTTTGACTGATTATTTTAATACCGTGCTTGGTCAGAATCATCTTGATCGTATCGCTATCTCTTATATTAACACTGGCACATCTACTATTATTATCAGTCATTACTCCATTATCGTCCGTATCAGCGTTCTCTTCCAACGAATCCAAATTATCGCCCAACGAATCAAATCTTCCGACATTGTCAGCCGATCTTCTTAATGATTTGCATCTGGTTAGTCTCGATGATCTTATACTATCAGCCGATGCCATAAGTTTGTTATCCATTGATTTTGATAATATTTCAGCATCCGATTTAAAAAACATTTTATTTTGCAGGTTTTCGACTGACGAGTATCTTCGTTTATCCTGTGTTTTTTCAATCACATATTTTTTGGGGCAAGAGCCTTTTCTATATAAACGTTTATTTCCATTTGGAAGTAAAATTTTTGACACTGCAGCTTCATCCTTACATTCGGTGTACTTCAGCCCCTGATTAGATTTGCAATTGCAACTATAATAATTAGAGTCCGAAATAAGGTGACGATCTGACTTGATTTTGGGAGGCTGTTGTCTATTATCGATTTCAGAAGCGAATCGATGATACTTTGGTGTGACATTGACATAAAGTGGTTCGGGCTTGTTACACATATCCAAAGAAGCGCGCAATTTACAATCTTGGAGACCACAGTTGTCAATTTCAAAGTGATCGTCCTCCATAGTGGACATTTTATAGGAACCTCTGCTTATCTCTATGGTGGATTTGGCTTTGGGTAAACTCAGTGTCATTGATCTACTATTTATAGTATTAACTGGATTTGCGTTAGTTGTCGAAGGTTCGTCTGCTATTGTTGCCGGTTCCCCACAAATTTCACATATTTCCATCGATTCACTTAAATTCTGCGCTACTCCGTCATCCTCACGTATTAAAGCATCATTCGCGTCTTGCAAGTTATACGAGCTACAAATATCACATTCCGTTGAATCTTCGTCCTCTGGCGAACTGCAGTTTGTTGGACAATGGTGCTCATCGGTTTTTACGAAACAACACGACGAACAGTATTCGTCGGCTTGGTGGTCCAATGTAGAAGAAGCCTCAGCCAACGGGGCGGTATTATCGGCTTTGATTTTCAAAACTGAATCACAGTAAGACGTTTCATTAGTTTTATATAACAAGTGTGCGTTACGCTTTATTGACTCCAAGCTCTTGGATTTCTTTGTCATAGAATCGGCAGCATTCATTACGGATGCCTCGTTTAAATTGATCGAGTCGAGACTTCCCTGTATCTGCTGTCGTTGATTTTTGCTAATTTCAATTGGCTTATTATTAATTATGAGTCTCAGTCTTTTGACGTAAGTTATATCGTCGAATAACTTAATTTCTTCATGCGGTTCGTCTTCAACGTTCATTTCAATCGATTCTCGTTCTTCTTCCGCTTTACTTTTAAGCACCGTTAATTTCGAATCCTCCTTAATTAATTTTATACTTTCATTGTCTTCCATTTTTTTTGTACTTTTTTTTGAATTAACCAAGGATTTTAGATATTTGCCATCAATTTCAAAATTAGTTTCAAACCTAGTTGTTTTGAAATCCGACTCTTCGCTATTATCGCAGCCAATAGATTCTCTATCAGTTTCATCCTTTGTCGCATTTACATTCTCAGTATTGAATTTATCAAAATTCTCCATAAAAGTTGTATTATCTTTAACGAAAGATTCATTTAAATCGTCGAAGCGACCTTCGTACGCTACTGACAACAACGCATCTTCCTTCTCTTCACTAAACGTATTGTCATACAATGTTGCTAATTCCCTCTCCGCGGTATCTTCAAAAGCTAACAATTCGTTTCGCGCTCTTGCGCTACTTGGCAACTCTATCGGACTATCTATACTATTAAATACGCGATTATGATGTTGCAACAACGACGAGGATGACTCACCCCCGATATTTATGGAATCAAATACCATACTCCAGAGAAGCTTTTCACGATCGGTATACATATTTACAATACTATTTTGCGAAGATTGATCATCGGAATAAGTTGGGCTATAATTGTTTTGCAGATTTTTTTTAAGCACACAATCGGAAATATCATTCATCGTCGTTATGGTATAGACATTGCAGGACGTTGTTTCCTGCATATTTATGTCGCTAGGCGACGACGTTAAGAAAGCACTATTGTGTTGGTATTTAGCCTCATCGGCGTCAAGGTAATCAATCGAGGAATTAATAGAAGATAGTTCCAACTTACTTTTGTATCCAGATTATGGCGTATTATCAATGCGGCAGCGTGAAACAGAGATAATTTTTTTTTTTTTAAAAGGATTTAGTTAGTTGTGAAGCAGATGAGAGCGAATTTTGGGAATTTTGGAAATTTTGGGAATTTTGGGAATTTTGGGAATTTTGGGAATTTTTCGTCCAAACGATTAAATTGTTTTTCGAATTTTTGCTTCAAAATCCGTTTTTAAAAACCGTTTTTACAATTAAAAATTTAAAAAAAAAAACAAACAAAAAAAAACAAAAAAAAATAAAAAATACGCTAGGACTTCAAAATTAAAATTCACAAAATTCGCTCTCATATCAGTTTAGTAAAATACAAAAATAATTCAATAACACATTTTGAACAGAAATAAATAACATTTTATGTTTATTGAAACTAATTTAGTCGTAACTAAAAACAAAAACTCATTATATTAAATCTTAAAGTTCAATTGTACATAATATTGGTGCCGTAAAGTGAAGTTTAAAACAATGTTTAGAGCGAATCTCTAGTTATTTTTTGGCAAAAGCAATACATTCTATCTTTTTATCATCTATAATTATCTATACAACTATAATAGCATACAATAACTATAATAAAACGATTTCACAAAGCATTATTATAAATATTTCAAACTGCTTGCACTATCGAATGACAAGCACGAGGGAAGCGAATTCGATATACGAGAAGGAAGGAGAGACATTATTGGTCTTACATCTGAGCTAATTTGCGTCTTATTTGCATTTCACAATGATGGCTCGAAAGATTCTTGCGGGCGCTGGAAGTTATAAATTTCGACTATTTCATGTAATCTGTCTGGTTCGAAATGGTGAAATTTGTTCGAAAAATCGTAAGATTTGCGAATAGCGCCTATAGCCGAATATGAAATGATTAACATGACAATTAATTATAGAGTCTAATATTGAAACATTAATGGCTATTCAGCGTTTTTACATTTAGCCCGATAATGTACTTTTTCGCACATTTTTGTACTGCAGTGATTTGTTCGCTTAATGTGTGTTTAATGTGCGTTTACTGGTGAACAATGAATGGCTTTTGGATTAATCTGTCCAGTGTAATCTATTAACTGTGGTCAGAGTGAAAATGCGGTCGACTCGTACGATCGTGTAGACATTTTATTCTACACGGTCGTCTAATCTACGGCATTTTGTTAATGCCGACGTATCAGACAATTTAGTGCTTGGAAGATTGAAAAAGGAATGTATAAATAATCTATACTTTTAAATTCGAATTTATAATCCCGTGAAAAATTAAAATAAAATTAAATGCAATTATTTTAATTGTTATTTTACAAGCTTTTAAAAATGTATAAAAATAGGCGTGTAATTCTTGTAAATTCTTTTTGTTTTCAGCTCTTGAAATTTAAATCGTAAATATTACATAATATAGGCAAATAATGTAATGGTATTGCTATAGATCAATTTATTAATGATAATATGGATACTATTTATATGGGCATGAATTTAATGCCTAAGAGTTTAAAATTAGCTCGTAGTTACAATTTTGATATCATGTATTGGCTAACTTATTAACAACAGAAATGTAGGCACACTATCGCAAAATTCAATACTAAGTTCGAGTTCAATAGCCACAAGCGCAAACTCGAGGTTGATTATTTTCAAATCTAATTAAATCATTCGCGATAAATTTGGATATCTATAAATAATTATGAATCATGAAAGTTTTATATTAATTGAAGAACTTTTATAGAAAAGAATGAAAAAGCAACACGCGAATATCAAGGCTCTAGACATGAACTAATGAGGGGAGTATACAATTGCATAGGTATTAATGATATTTGAGAAGATTTTGTATAAAGGTATTATGCAGATAAATTTCTAACGAAATTCAATTCAATATGTGAATTTCTCTATAGCTATTAAGTTCTGATCTATCTACATATGTATTATATTTCATGTATTATGAAAACTTCATGAAATTTTTCATTTATGCATTCAATAAATAATCTCCTAGGCTAATAGAACTTTCAGTATATCCACTTCATTACGTAGATAGTGAGAAAATTTAGGAAGCCACATTATATCTTCATAACATTACTTCATTAACTCGCCCTATATTGCCGTATATATAAAGTGAATAGTTCTCGAGTATTAAGCTGAAGCTTATTCGGATAATTATTAGGCGATATTCATGCATTTAGTTTGGAACATAATAATGATCATAGTTTAATTAAATATTGATATCGCTATTATATAGTACTACAAAATTTGCAAAATTTGATCACCTTATCGACAGTATTCTTCGACAGTGTATGTTGCTAACACTGATGAGCATTAGAAAAGTAGATATGATGTGGCTGGATGTCGTACGAATAAATCTAATTCAAGTAGATGTGACAAGTAGATATGATGTGGCTGGATGTCGTACGAATAAATCTAATTTGCTCTAAGAAGTTTGAATTTAAAAGACACGAAATAAAAATTGAAGAAGATAATTTCAAGAAAAGAAGAATAAAAATTTTAGCGCCTGGATTAATACTGAACGAATAATATAAGCAGCACACATAGAAATTCAACATTGACAATTGTTAAGAATTATAAAAACAATATAGTAGTGTAATTTCAGAGCTCCATCCTAAATTGGCAAATTTAATACGCATCAAATAAAGCGAAATTCGCGTAAAATAGTATTGCATTGATCACGAAAATAGAAACTTGGTATATATTACCAAAGAAATTTGCAATATTAAAATGAATGCAAATTGGCTATATCAGAAATTTCTTGATATATTTAAGCCGTGGAGACTGTACGTATGAATTTTGAGAAGTCAAGTATTGAGTACTAAGAAGCCAGTGTTAAAATTGATACTCTAAAGTCATTTTAAAACAATACACGCACAAGATACACCGACTTATCGTACCTCCCATTTGCCCTTATTTTATTAATGCAGAAAAAAGAATGAGCCGAACCCTATTATAATTATCTAATTCAAGGTAACTTTGTTCCTTAAATTGAACTAAAATTTGGGTAGTTGAATCGACTTATTGATTAGAATTTGTCGCGTTACTTGGAAAAATTGTCTCTCCGATATCAATTTTTTCGTTCGAAAATACAACAAAATGAATTTCTATTAACGTATGGTTTTCATTTTAGTACTTCTGATCCGAAGTAATCGAACATTTTTATAACTTCACAACAAATGGATCCATCTTATATTACACGATTTTATTAATTATTTTTGCTTAAAATAATAAATAATTAATATTATAAATTAATAAAATATTATAAGAAAAGGAATAATTTTAATTACGAATTTTTTTTTTTATTACAAACACAGTAATAAAACTATTTTACAAAACCATTTACCATTAGAATCTGCTTACTATTATTATACATAGGAATATAGAAAAGTATTGTAAATGAATAATTGATGCAAATTATTACTTTGTTTATATAAAAATATTAATTATATATACATTTTTTTTTTTTTTTTTTTTTTTTTTTTTTTTTAATAAACATTATTATTTTAAGATAGTATAAACTTCACTTTTGGCTACTTTAAATACATGTTACAAAATATTGAAAGAAACAAAAACGACTAGACTAATAAAATTTATACACATATAATTCTAGCTTTTTTTTGTGAAAAAAAAAAAAAAGAAAAGTGCTTTAACATTAAGACGAGCCTACGGTGAGTTTGATAAATAAATATTTGACATCACTTATGAATGTTTGAAGTTAAAAAATGAGTTTAAAACCATTATTGAGAACATTTACGATATACATCTATATATATATATATATATATATATATATATATATGTTAATGTAGTAAAAATAACATAAAATTTATAGTTTCGTTTGAGAATGGCCAATTTAATGTATCGAGTAAGCTGAAGAAATTTGAATTGCGAGTACAATAGATTGAGAAGTAAATTAAGGTACTGGCACTGATAATTTACATCAACCCTTGTAATTATCTGGCAACGAGTTTATAAAAAGAGAGAGAGAGAGAGAGAGAGAGACTGTTTGTTTGTTTGTTTTTGTGTGTGTGTGTGTGTATGTGTGTGCGTGTGTGTGTGTGTGTGTGCCTGAGCACTTATAAAAAGTAAGTTAACAAGTTTCGGGAGGATTAAGTTAATTAATTTTAAGTGCAAGACTAATTGAGTACCGCATTGGATTATTTGGACAAGTCAACGAGTATCGCAGTGGTCGAATAGATAATAGTGGGAAGTCGGGAATGAGCGTGTAACGCGATTCCGAATGATTAAGCAGATCACTTAAATTTACACAGTCTCCATGTCATTGCACAAATCCCGTGATTACTTTTAAGGTAAATAGATTATTCCAAGCTTTGCCGTGAATATCGAAAATTCAGATCACATGCTTTATTAGGTGTCTGAAATATTTTGCAATGTGATTGCGATTTATTAGGATTCCAAAATTTGGAAAGATGACTGACAATTAAGGTCAATTAAAAAAAGTATTTAAAGATCTCGAGATATAATGTAAAAAAGTGTTATATTCTACGACGGATAGGTGATGTAACATTCAACGTATGTCAGTATTGCACAAAATTTTTATGTTATTGAGCTGTTGTTCAATGTATCACTTCTAATTCTTTTCTTTTAGTATAAGAGTAAATATATAATGAAGACTTAAGAAATGGCTAGTGTATAAAAATAAAAACAAAAACCCCCCCCCCCCCACACGTTCTAATTTTATCGTCATATTCCGTAGTCGTGTATTAAAAATTTAATTTCATCGGAGGAATGCTTCAAAATCAATTTATTTTATATTTATTTAGAAACGATAATTGTATTATACTCTCACTATAGGCTCCCCTTATGTCCGCGTTAATGTTATAATATCTAGGAAAATAAATTTAATAAAAAATATGTCTGAAATCTATTTACAAGATAATTTCAAATTCTCTAAAGAAAATGAAATCCTTTCAACATCAATGTATATCAACACCGAGGCTTTGGCACTCACCAAAGTTAAGCTAAAAATTATTTCACAAAATATACAACATTACGTACAGAAATAAATATAAAAACAGCAACTTTCTAAAGACTCTTGATAATTAAATAACAACTATCTCGATTGCTTCTGTTCACTCACATTATCGACGGTCTGTGGGCTTCGTAAATTCCATTCGTATAGACGTAGTCAATGACGGCATCTTGAAGAAGATATTTTACACTTTCGCCACGCTTGAGAGCTCTTCTTATTCGCGTGGAACTCACTTCATTTGGAATCCATTCCGTCACTATCTGTATATTATGCTTCACCAAATAGTAATTTACATTAATCGTATGTCCAATTTGGCCAATATTAGAAGAGCTCCCTTTAAATGTCCTCCCTTATTTATAAAATTTCAGGACTTACCAAATGCTTCGAGAGAATATCCGAGTCATATATAAATTTGTATGGATTCGAACCCTCTCTCGTGATGACTACTAAACCATACTGACCCACAATCTCCGCTATCTGCACAGAAAATAATATTATTCAGCTTACTATATGCAATGAACTATCACTGCAAAGTCAAAGTCTGATTATTTTAACACTGAGATATTAACCTCAATGAGTTGAAAACTCGGTATACTACTAACCCATTCAATTCACTTCCTAAAGTTCGCGCAGAAAGTTTATAAATTTATTTCGTTTTTTTTTTTTTTTTTTTTGTCAATTTATCATTAATAGGCATTGTACTGCCCATGTAGTTAATGAATAATTATTAATTCTCGTGTATGAACAAAGTTCATGCGTTTGAAGTTGAATTTATCACGTTAGGGTTTGCCTAATTTTAATTAAAATGACGTGTTCAAATATTACGAGGAAAAAAATTATCAATTATCTTTATGAACTAATACATGTGAATTAGAACATATTTGAAAGTTGTCTACGTAAGAAGCATCTAATTTTTTTTTTTTTTTTTTAATTAGCAAAGCAATTGAAAAAGTATTTATCAATTGTAAATTAATGCTGCTAACCGATACTACAATATCAATTTTTAAAATAAAGTTCGAAGAACTTGATATAATTGGCGACAGTTAATATTATTTCATAGTAATTGTCATTTAAAAAGATATTATATTCGGCAGAAATAAATATGGTTGAAAAATTACTTGATATGTCAGCGTTTTAAGGTAATTAGTACGAGTCAATAAGCCTATAAAATTCATTCCAGTAATCTTTAATGTTACACATTTAATAACAGATAAGAATAAAAGTGTATTAGTAATTTTATTACATTTCACAAAGGCTATTATCATTTTCACAATAATATCTAATGCAATTAATTATAATATTATTATAAGGCATGTAAAATTTTCATTTATTCTTAAACTTACGGTCTACAGATTTTCTATTTTATCTAAAGTATTCATAAATTTATGTTCATCGCCATAAAGAGCCTTGGTAAATTGAATTTTATGAATATTATCCGAATATTCTTAGATTTATTACATTAATGTACGGCATTACATACACATACAAAATTTTACAACTTGTTAATAAATCGTAATAATTGATTAAATTATAATTATCAAATAAACACATATATTTTGCATATATTGTTATCTTCAAGCTTATATGATACCTTTAACATTATGTAATATTTAAAAAATAATTGGTGCAATTCAAATTTAAACAATTAATGTTTCCGCAAAATTCTCATACTATTACGAATTCATTAAATAATGATTTTCTAAATCAGTATAAAACGTATCTACCAATAAAAGAGTCTTATTATCATGTTTAATAATTTATAATGTAATCGTAGCACCTTTCAGTAAATTTCGTTATCTATAATAATACTTTAAATATTTGTTTGCCGAAGAAAATTCTCATGCAACTTTGCATTATCAATTAAATAAAATGAGAAATAATTATAATGGCGCTGGTGTATTATCAAAGTTATCAACAATTTTTGTTTATGCACTCTATTCATATATTAAAGAAGAGTACATAATCAAGTCAGCAGGATGAAAAACATTTTAATAAAAACGTCTCGACTCACATCCTCCTCGGCCCATAATCCAGGAGTCGCAAAACTCTCCAGTAAATCACCACCACAGAGAAGTTTTATTCGAATGGGCATCTGATCGGCGATCTCATTATTCCTTACGTTCTCCGGTATCCACTCGAGGTCTTCATTATCAATGGAGTTCCTATTAGCATCACCGTTCCCGTACACCACGGAGTCGATGAGGTTCTGATGATGTTGGAGGCTCTTCCTCGTTCTTGTCCAGGTGTTTTGACGTATCTCCCAGGTGCTCAGTCTTATCCAGTCACTATCTGTCAATGCGAGTTTCAGCATCTTGCATCTGTGGACGCCGTTTGCTAGTTCCTTTTTTGCGTAAGCGTCGTTAACCGGAGATATAACACCACCAATCACCATGTGTGTGCCAAGATTGTGAAGGTGATCGCGCGCTCTCTCTGTCAAAGTACCATAAACAAAATTGGTGTTTCAATTCCGTCGATATCGATCCTTTCGAGCGCACGATTAAATAAATGAAAAATAATTTGATGACTAATTTCAAACTATAATTATTTATTAGGTTATTAGAGATAGTCAGACTTGGGGCAATAAGCATGGGATCATAAAATGTCAAGATAATTATTATACTTAAATAACTAAAAATATCTATAACATTTTAATTAATTATTTTAATATAAAACTTACTATTCATCCATAATTTCTAAGCTTTAACTAAAATACATGTAACTTACGAGTTTCTACTGAAATTATTTTCTCTATCATTTAATTTTAATTTAATGCAATTATTCAGTTTATTCATTATAATTATTATTTAGTTATTTCTCTTGTATTAAAAGAGCTTTTTTCTATATGCTAGTATATGATTTTTTTTTTTTTAAAGTTTATAACTTTTTAGCAACCATAAATACAAAAAAAAATGTTTCTTCATAATTAAACAACAATTTAATACAAAATACAATGGTTAAAAATCTCAACAATATATGCATAAATACATTATTTGAATAATTCTATATTTACTATTTACAAACAAACAACTTTAATAAATTACGTTTCTTGCTATTTCTTTATTACTCTTAAATAGTTGATTACTGTTAATCAATATAAAACACACACGCAAGCACGCACGCACGCACACACACATACACACAGACACGCTTTACGATTTTGATAGATTTATACATAAATAATACTAACCAAATTTTAAACTATATGATAGGTATAATCAATTGTATTGTAATTATAATTAATTTTTTGTAATCGCTTAATATATATATATATATATATATATATATCAAATATTTAATAAAGTAAATAAACTTTATTGTACAATTTTTTCAAATTATACACTACTATTTTTAACATTTTATTTAAGATTTTTTTTCATCTTTCTGATTTCATTATGAAACCAAAATTCCATAAGTTACGAACTTTCCCCTTCTTTTCATGATTATATAATTTTGTATACTTCCGTATTTCTTTGTCCTATTTCAATGTAAATGTTTTTATTTTCAGTGATTCAGTTTATTTTCAAATATTTTCATTTTCAGTTCATTTTATAAAATGTTCTTATTACTTCCGTTTTTTATTCATAATACTGTAAAATTAATTAAATTATATATATATATATATATATATGTATATATAACAAATTTAAAATACCATATTTTGAAATTATTTAAATATAATCCAAATATAGTTCCAAATTATTTTCTTCTACATATTATTCCGAATTTTTATCTTGAAGTTTTTGAAATTTAATTTGAATTTGATTTTATTTTGTATTTTATTCCAAGAATACGTATGATACGTGTATATAAATATACTTTTATATAATCTTAATGAATAATGAATATTTATCTAACCATAAATTGTTACGGAAAATAATCAAGGTTTCAATTGGTCATTCTACTTAACAAACTAAGCAATATATTTTTTTTTTATATTTATGCTTTATATTATTTTTGCCTTAATTTGATCTGCGTTGACTTTCAAAAGAAAAACAAAAACAAAAAACAAAAAACATAACAAGAAAATTTCAGTGTCGGAATAACGAGAATTATATCGCAAAATTTAATAACAAGATCTTTGATAGCATAGATCAAGTGACCAATTAGAACAACATACAACAAAGTGCATACTATATCACCTTTGACGTCGGATGCATCATACTGCAGTTTCCTTGTACACGTTTTCTTCGAAATTCTTAGATTACTTAAAATTCGATTAAACAAATGTTATTTTAATAATAATAACTTTGCATCGAATGACTTAGAAGATGAATAATTAAAGCACGATGATAATAATTGGTTATACCAATATTTTTCATTTTAAGCTCAAAAGAATTTCGATTGTATCTCAATTTTTATGAATTATTTATTTGAATTTTTTATTATTATTTTTTTTTACTTTTACAAAAAATGAACAAATATTCGATAAAATTTATTATATTGTTTATGAATAAGGCATTCAAAGTTAAATATTCTGAAAATTTTATGAAGCTTTAGTTGATTTTAATTGTTTGAATGCGATTCTGAATTTCAAAGGAAAAATTACGCGTAAAATTAAATTCACAATTCAATTGATAACAAAAAGTTTCGATGTTAATGGAATGTAAAACTAGAGCAAGAGAAAATCAGGTATATCAACAAGATTTTGTTTTTTTTTTTAATGTTATGCATTGGAAATATTACGATTTCATATTAAATGTCTTTAAAAATTAAGTTTTATTTGTTTTGAAATAATATAGTTCATATTCAGTCTTAAAGATATTGGTTGAAAATAGTCATCAGTTTAAATAAAATTCAATTTTTAAAATGAAAATAAAAAACGCAAATTCAAAAGGAAAGTGTAAATTTCGAACGATTGAGTAAAAAGTTACTTAAATTGATAATTCACTATTTCGAAGCTGTAAGTTATAATTTGAATCCAAAAGTTACGAAAATCAAATTAACGATTATAAAGTGAATTAATGAAAAAAAAAAAATAAATAAATAAAAAAAAAATAAATAAATAAAACAAAATCAAACATTAATAATGTTAATAATCAATTTATATGTTCATATCTTAGTATTAAATGAAACTCGAGTACATACGCACGAATGTTGTACTTATCTACCTTATATTTTAGAACATTAAATTTAGCCGAAGCCTAAAAAAACATTTATATTATATTTTTATTATATTTACATTCAATATTATTTAATATTACAAGAAGATTTGACTCTACGTCACTATTACGTTTCACCGACCACTAAATATTACACGGATTATATCATTCAATAACATAGCTGTGTACTTAAGATAAAAAAAAAAAAAAAAAAAAAAAAAAAAAAAAAAAAGAATAATAATTCATAATGATTAAATATTTATCACACGTGATTTAGATTTGAGTTTCATTCTAACAAGGTGAATAATTTTCATTCCGGATAGATAAATTGACGGAGATGTAATCGTAAATAGAATAGAAGAAGAGCGCTATCTTAACTGATTCGTGTTGCCGCATTTCTGTCGTCCTGAATCGATGCTGTGAGCAGAAAATCAACATAGATTTGCACAATACTTTTAATGAAAAATTACAATCAGAAGACGTTATTAATTCATAGGTTTAGTCTTTAGTTTATAATATGTGATCAATGGGAATTGATATTTTGATTTTATAATGATATATTGCGAAAATTTACGTGGATATTCGTAACAGAAATTATAAAATTTTTTTTTGCTAATTTCATCCAAAATAATTATTTACTATAACTGAATTTAATCAATCACGTGTAATTCAACATAACTGTTGTTTTTATAGATTTATAACAATCGATTACATTTAAAATTTATTTAATATTATTCTTTACTTGTCTTATATCAAAGAATATATTGTATGTACTGCTTTTTTTTTTTTTTTTTTTTTTTTTTTTTTTTTTTTTCTATTTTAAATCAAGTAAACGTTCAATTGGAAAAAATTAGAAAAATTACAAATTATATTATTTTCACTGTAGAATAATGAATTAATAGCTATATTATTTCAATAGAAGAGACGGTAATCAGCAAATTTATTCTTTCATGCATTAAATTTTTTTTTCTCTTAATCTTTTGCTACGTACTGCAGTTTAATTTATTTAATGTATCCTTAATTTTTACATAGTATAATTAGAAGAGTAACTTCAAACGAACCCTAGTCTGATTTGATTTTATTTACAATTGGTATGAAATTTAATTTTAATAGAAAGTATTAAATACACTCACATTACAGTTTGCTTAAAAATTAATTAAAAAAACACACGAAAGAATAAAGGGTTTATGTCAAAATATACTTGAGTTAAGCCGTATGAGAATTAATTTATTAAAAGTTGGAAAAAATGAGATAATAATATTTGACTTTAAATAAGCAAATAGGCGGAAAATTCCTTTTTGTCAAAAAAAAAAAAAATTGCAACAAGAATATTAACTTATCGATGATATGTATATATATATATATATATATATATATATATATATATAGCAATGAATTTCAAATACATTTCTACTTTATAAATAATGAGCTTTCAGGTAATTCCTTTACGACTTGATATATCTTTTAATCTCTTCGAATGAATTGGTTGTGTATCATTCATTTATCTGTACTCATAATGATTTAAACGCTCAACAGTAACACTGTGTTTATATAGAATCAAATTAAAATTTTACCCTATTCCATTTGAAGCTTCAAATTTTTCTTTATGTATATTTAATATTTTTTTTATATTTATCGATTCATGTAAATATACACTTAAAAGATTGCGTATAATATAAGAAACACCCGATGAATCAGCATTAGGATTTATTTAGTGAAATAAGATTTTTATCGGTAAAAATTTTTTATTCCATTGTTTGTTAATTAATAAATAGTACACAAAAGTTATAAATGCTAATAAAATCAGAAGATAATGATGATGATATTTAATTTGATAATGAAATGATTTTGTTCTTTATTGTGCTTTTTGCATCAAACAGCCGGCAATTATTGACACATCATAAACAACAACGGTTATAAGGATTATTTGATAAAATACTCACTGTTAAAGTCTTAAAATAATATTAAAAGCTTTAATAGGGACTTTAAAAACAGTATGTATTTTAAATATTGAAATTGATTGTAAAAGAGAACATAATGCATGTCAATATAATCACATTTCAGAGATTCAACACCCTTATAATTTGAATATTAAATGATTGATAGTATGAGAGTAAATTTTTCTATTAATTTACTCGTTTATTATAATAGAGGACCCTATCTGGCCTATTATCGGCGGCTCTATTTCTTAATTATCGAAATATCGAAATGCATCGATTAAATATTTAATTACGTAATGGCAACATTTGTGTAGCGTAGTAACTTTGTAAATTATCATAGAATGCGCGCCTTGTAGAAAGAAGATGAAAAGTAGAAAACAACTGTTATGAAATCAATTTGCAGTGTCTAGAATGAGTTAAAAAATACGTTATTCGTGTGGTTACTCATTTGCAGTTACAATCTTTTTCTCTGACCTACATTAAATGAGCCATGAACGAAGATAAAAGGATACAAAGTTTAAAAATATAATTGCTCTGATCAATAAAGATATAATACATAACAAATATACATATAATAAAGATAAAAAATACGATAAATGTGATGGAAAGTGATAAAAGAAGAACGAATAAAAAGTATACGAAGACGTTAAAGATAAAAAAAAAAAAAAGTCAGTCGTTCTATCTGTGTATAAAATAAAAAATTGTATTCTATTGCATGAAAACAGCTGGATTTATCTCTATTAAAATATACATTTTTATGATTTAGTATTTCTTTAGTATTTTCCATTCGCTCCATTGTCCTTAAAAATAAATACAAATAATAAGGGTAATATCGTCATGCCATGCCTATGATCTTAAAAGAAAGGAAACTTGAATTAATATTTTGGAGCGTAACAACTAAAGGTATAAAATTTGCCAATCAATACCTTAGGTGTTGTCGTTTACTCCCCGGAAACATGTTCCTCGTCGACCAGAAACCGAGCGTTCTTGGTTATAAATAAAGAAGCCTGTCAAAACTATCGCCTTATATGCAGGAAAGTTTGCGCGATAATTCATTGATTTTATCTAATCTCATAAAAATACGTGTGCGTAATAGATGCACGTCTCCTATAACGACCCCGATAGTTGGAATATAATCTAGCGAGCGATCGAAAATAGCCAAGGCACACGTGACAGTATCCTGAATCCTCGCATCCCGACTCACTTGATTGATAAAGGAATCAATCTTCCTCTCGCGCATCTCAAGATTATAGTGGCTAAAAAATCAAGTGTACAATAATTTGAGGGATGAGGCTACTGACGTCATCATCGACCAAACTCAACACAACCCTCTCATCTACTCTCCTTTTCTCACGAAAATACATGTCATAGATAAAGATAGAGAGCTCTCCGTGCACATCTTGGAGGAAATCGCGCATTCAGTCTTTGTGCGCTCGGTCGCGTTCTACCCACAGACTCCCATTAGTGGGTATGCCCTAATTTTACTTAGGGAGAAGTTTTCTTTTCCGGCCAAAGACTGACTATTAATACGTCAAACAATAGGCCATCAATTTTATGTAATCTGATTTCATCATTTCAGGTGGCCGTCAACAACAGGGCAATTCATAAATTTGTTTACCAATGTATATGCCCCAATCTTATAAACCCATATCACTTTTCTCTTTCTTTGTAAATTCATACGCTTTGTTGATGAAAAAAAAAAAAAAAAAAAACGAGACAAACAAACGATAAATAAAAATAAAAGCAAAACAAAAAAAAAAAAAAAAAAAAAAAAGGATAAAAGAAAAAAAAGCAGAAATAGGTGACGACGATTCATGAGTGTATTTTTGCGTTTGGAAAAATTAAAAGCCCCGAAGTAAAAAACAAAGCCGTAATTAATTTAAATAATGTAGGAAGGAAGGGTATAAATACTGGTAATGCTAGTTACATTTGTACGTTCGGTGATTAATAGAGAAAGGCTGTAAATTTTCGGTTCGACAACCCCCTAAGACTTCTAAGGCCAGTCTGTCAATCAATTTCACCCTCAAAGGCCTCAAGATCCTGGATAAGAAGAACAGGAGTTCCGAGCTAACGGCGCCCGCCGCACAAGGCAACCGAAAATACCGTTTGTTTTCGAAATCGAGTCCCACACCCCGTCGCCACGCACACCTAGGCGCTCTTAAAAGCCTGCTATCGATCATGGGTGAGAAGGAGCGCCGGGTGGAGGAGGAGGAGGAGGAGGAGGAGGGGGGGAGGGGGGAGGCGATGTGAGTGAGAAATGATGGATTGATAGGGGTAGGAGGGAGAAGGGGTGTGCCGCGTGTAAGCGTATGGCCCTCTCCTCCCGGCTTCGCGCGGACACTCACCGAACATCCTTAAGTGCATATGAGTGGGCGGATTGTAGCTGCCGCACGACATCAGGATGACTCGGGTCGCGCACCTCTCCGTGATCTTTGGCTCCATCCTCGCGCACTGTCTCGGCTCGGAGTCGTTGCTGTCGTCGTCGTAGTCGTCGTCGTCGTCGTCGTCGTCGTCGTCGTCATCGGCGGCGGCCTCGCAGCTGCTGCATCGTCCGCAATAAGCCGAGTGAGTTATTTGGCGGTGGCCTGCTAATAGAGGATTGAGTCCGGAGGACGCGGACACGAGCGCCTGAGCCTCGGACGCGCACTGCGGCCGTACACTCGACGCCGTCGCGAGGGACGCGACGCCCTTAGGCTTGGACGCGCGTGCGCGTCGTCGAGCGGCTCCCGCGCGACGATTTTTAATTACGGCGCCACGAGTCGACGCGACGGCGATAGTGACGACGATGACTCCGACGACTCCAACTCCGACGACGACGACGACGACGACGACGACGACGACGACGACGACGACGACGACGACGACGACGACGACGACGACGACGACGACGACGACGACGACGACGACGACGACGACGACGACGACGACGACGACGACGACGACGACGACGACGACGACGACGACGACAACGGCTAAGACGACTACGACTACGCTACGACTATCGCTATAACGACGACGATGACTCCGACGACTCCGACTCCAACTCCAACTCCGACGACGACGACAACAACCAAGACAACAAAGTGGAGGAGGACGTGGAAGACAACGGCTGCTCTTCGATTATTAAGGGAATGACGATTACGTAGGCGATTGTGTGGGAATCATCGCGAGCGCGTCACCTCTAGCCTCTTTTCGTTTCACAGTCGTTGGCAGCGACTTCCTCGCTGCAAAGACATTTTATTTCAAAATTAAGTTATCGCCCGCCCTATCAGATGGACTTTATTTCTCGTTCGGCTGCCTCTCTGTCGAATTCTAAGCTTTAACGAAAGGAAGATTATGCCAATCAACGCGGCTTTAAAGTTTTGATAAAGTTTTTCACTTTTGAAACTTTTCATTCAATACTTTTATTTTTTCATTTATTATCTTTCAAGACCGATAATTTATAAAATATAAAAACCGCATTCAAGTAAGTAATTCTGTTACAAATCGACGAACATTTTAATTATCTTGGGAGTTTGATTTTTACCGACCCGAAAATAATAGTTCTTATAGCATTAAATTAATATAATGGATGTTGATAAGGCAGGAATCATTGTTAGTTCACGATATTAAAGAAAGATTTTTTATACTCATTGTCCACGTAAAATTACATTAGTTAGTTTTGCATAGTATTAATAACCATTTTTATTAGTTGCTTTAATTATATCGTATTATCGATAAAAATCATAAAATCTTCGAAAGAATAGATGAAATTATTATGCAGTTATCGAGTTCCGATAAAGTTCATTTATATAGTTAGAGAATAAGAGCTTTCAAGCTACTCGCATAAATAGATTGTTTATACAAGAAACATTAATCGTTCACATAATAGATAAGAGATCAATTTAAATATTGCATAGCTTCTTGTTAAATACTATTGTTAAATACTAGGATTGCGAGTTACAAAATTGAAAGATAACCTTACTTTCAATAACATTTGGAATAAATTCCATAAACATTCCTGTTTTAATTTGATCAAAAATATGTAATCACTTGTTTTGGGTTACATTTTAATTTTCACACTGCATGTTAATTATCAAACTACCAATTATAAGTACAAAAATTAAATAAATAATCCTTAATATTCAGACAAAATATAAATCTGATATAATTATAAGTATTTTATAAGCTTTTTTATAAAGATAATATATACGTATACCAACATTTTTTTCCTGCTTTATCAAAATGTGTAAATTTATATTACAAACTATTTTAATATTTTTAATAAAATTTGTCAAAATTATAATCTAAAATTTCTTAGATTTTGAATAATCAATAATTTGCGATACTAAAAGAAAGTATAATATCAGTAAAAATGTGATGCCAAATTAATTTCTTTATCAAATTTTTAATTATCTTTAATTTTAATAAAAAGATAAAAAAAACTTTATACTTGTAATTTTTAATAAAAATTAATAATAAATCGAATGACAAATTATGAAATGAGATTTAAAATATTCTCAACGCAGTTATTATTTTAAATAACAGTTGCAAAAATGAATAAATATCTATTTAACATTTCCTGTTTAATTGTTATTACTTTCGTAAAGTTTTATTCATTAAAAATTTTAATTAATCTTTAATGCAGGTTTAATATAAGCCCGTACAATTTGATTACTAGAGATGGTTTTCTGATAGCCTCTTTTTCAAAATAAATTATATGTTGATGTAATCAATTATAGAAGTGACTTACATTGACATCCTTTTTGTACCATAAATTCCACGTTGATAAATTAATTTTATAATAGGATCTTGAACAAGATACTTTACACTTTCGTTGCGTCTTAAAGCTCTTCTAATTCTTGTTGAATTTACTTCATTTGGAATCCATTCGGTAACTACATGTAAATTATACTGCAATAAAAATAATTATTTAAGTAAATAAATCAAATTTCTTACATTTTTAATGCATAATTTTTTTCATCCACATGCACCTGTGCTGTTACATTACGAATACGTTGCATAGGAGATATGTGAAATATTATTGCATTTTTGGCAATAATTGTATAAATTCATAATAATTTTTCATACATTTTCTTACCAAGTATTTTGAAAGAATATCTGAATCATATATGTATTTGTAAGGATTTCCCCCTTCGTTTCCAACAACCACTAGACCATAGTTACAAGCTATGTCTGTTATCTAAATGAACAAAATATATTAATTTTTACAAATATAACAACGAAATTTAAGTTCAAATAATTTATATATATATATATATATATATATATATATATATATGCATATAAAACCTACATCTTCTGCTGACCAAAGATCTGAGTTCGACAGACTTTCCAATGTATCGATACCACAGAGTAATTTTATTTGCACCAACGATCTATCCAAATTATCTCTTATATTATTAGGTATCCAATCAACATCTTCGTTATTTACATTATTTTCCACACTATTGCTTATAAATCTATTTAATAGGTTTTGGTGATGTTGTAAACTTTCTCGTGTACTTATTAGAGTAGTTTTCTTAAGTTCCCAAGTGCTAAGGCGAATCCAATCGCTAGTTTGGAGAGCCAAATTTAACATATCACATCTTACAGTTTGGTTAGTTAGATCCTTCTTGGAACAATTGTTTATCGGCGATATAATGCCACCGACGACGGTATGACTCCTCAAAGAATGTAAATGATCCCTTGCTCGTTCTATACAACAAAGTAAGTATTTTGGTTAGGAATCTGAAATTCTTATTGTTGAAAATTAGGAAAATAATTAGATTCTTTAAAATCTGAATACAAGATTAAATGATATTGTCAAAAAATCTTTCTCGTCGAGTCTACATTTACTGAAAAACAAGTATGTTTATATAATTCTGCCTTATCTCAATTATTTACTAATATCAACTATTATAATTTATTGTCTCTACTTCTTTGCCCGTGATTTAATTTTAATGACAATTGTATTTTTATAAATCGTGAAGACGTAATCGATAATCGAAATTTAATTTCTTAAAATCGATCGAGCAAATATTGAGAAAACTTCTTATCAAGCATCATACATTTTCCAATATGAATATCCGAATGTCAATGAAACAATCTATCGCGTTAAAAAATAAATTCTCATGAAACCAATATGTTCCGAGTAGAAGTATTTTCGTTATTATTTATACACGTGCTTTGGAAACACGTTCGAAGAAAAATGAGAGCAGTTTACCTATATATGCGAGACAAAATAAGAAAAACAAAAAGGAAATTCATTATCTCGATTCGAAGCGTAGTATTCATAATTTGATTTTGACTAACGAAGTTCTATTTACAATTCTTGACGTCCCTTCAAAACATCAACATAACCAAATTACCAATACCATCAACTCCACATAAAACAATCTCACGCGCATCCATACAATGAACATCGACAAATTTCATATCCCGCTAAACTTACCAAACATCCTCAGGTGCATATGAGTGGGCGGATTATACCTGCCGTGGGTCATCAAAATCACGCGCTTCATTGGCATATTATCAGTCTTCTCGTTTCTCATTTCCATCGTGCCTTCTTCTTCGCCTTCCCCTTATTCCCTCGTCGCCCACTCTCTCTCTCTCTCTCTCTCTCTCTCTCTCTCTCTCCCTCGTCTCGCGTCTCTGGTGACGATAAAAATATGTGTACGAGACAGGCGCGATTATCCTTTTGATTTTGGCTAATGTTTATTAAAACGTGCTTTACACGCAAAGGACGATTAGCGAATTAACGAAGAAGAGTGAGATAAAAAAAAGATCGTCCATGACGAGTGATAAATCCAGTATTAAAAAGTGTTCGAACCTCGTGACTTTTCAGCCCCAATAGATAATAATAAGGAATCGCAATCCGCGACGAACGTTGAACGCCCGTAACGACCAGCCAGCCAGCCAGCCTTTCGCCATTTCTCACACGATCGACCGAGATCCGAACTTTCTCGGATTTACCGCCAGAGGCATCATCAGGGCAGGATTACTTCGCTTATATTTATTTGACATTTATTACTTCTCCATTGCGCGGACTTTTAAGGTTAGGTTCGCAGCGCCCCTTCCACCACTACGATCCATTGGCGATTTTACGCGGTCTGACCTTGGCGAAACTCAACGGAGCACGTCGTCTTTCAGTGATCTCGGTGACTCGACTGTACTGTACTTGTAGTTGGCATTTGCAGGAGTATGAGTGGCGAGGAAGAGTGCTCGTCAAATAGCGATAAATAGCGCGTGCGTTAGACGAGTATGTGGACTAATAATGGGATGGAAAAGGATGCTTTAAGGTCGTTGAGTTTCGTGCGGCCATCCTTTGAGTAGGAATAGAGATATGCAGGTGGAGCTCGTTGGCGATCTCTTTATTAATTATTCGCATTTGTCAGGGATGTAAATAATATTGGCAATGGCATTATTGGATGCCACTGTAAGGAAATTTCAATCGATCAATAACGACATTTCTAGCTGCTCTCGTACTTTTAAAGATGGCGCCAAATACTCGATTTACGGCAAACTTTCAAACGAAATCTCGCAATTCGAATAGGAATAGGCCAACGGTGAGAAAAATGAGGTGGCAATTTATATTATTTTTATTGTTATTATTGTAAATCGAGCCCGTTAGCCGTCGAGGTCAAGAGAGTTATATAAAATCGTCAAAGCAAGTGCTTTGGATTTCCAAGCTTATGTCGCATAAAGAAATCGATCGATAAATTTTTATTAACTAATCGCCGAATCACAACGAAAGACGTTATTGAAACATTGAAACTTGGAAAATCTGTCAGGCGTATTAAGATACGGGAGCAAAGATTATATTGTTCGTAAAGTACAATATCAATATTATAATATGTATGGTTTTCGGTGTATAAAATGACATTTATAATGTCGCATTTACGTGTAATAATGTAGGTGACAATTTGCTTTACACGCGCGCAATTATAATGAAATGACATAATAAGTTCATTGATTTTTCATTTTACATAATTTTCGCAATTAAATTAATACTAATTTTCGAAATTATAAGCGTTGCGCATTGTCAATTCGCCTCTATTAATCGTTGTGCACGGTAAAATAAGATTAATATTATTTTATCGTTAAATGAGGTAATAAATAGGATATTCAACCTTATTTAATCATAACGATCTAATCGCAAAAATGTGATTTAAATTTTCTTATTATAATCAAGATGTAAAAAGTATTATAACATGAGGTAGCAAAAAAAAAAAAAAAAAAAAAAAAATTAAGCTTCGTAGTATATTTTTATAACATTAGATAATTTTTTTTTTTTATTTTATAATTAAAGAATATACCGTAAGAATGGCAAAAAATATTTATTAAAATATTAATTTTTTCAAGTTCCCTCGATACTCTCACTGGGACAATTAAAAATTAATTGTACAATTTTTTTGCACAATCACGGGACGTTGTTGCGATACTTAACTTAAGTTATCGTATCGAATATACTTAATCCGATTAGTGTCGAATTTAAATATTGAAAATAAAAATTAATATTCTAAAAGCATGGAAATTGTCAATCATAATAAACGACACAAACCCTCTCATTCCCTCTAACCCTCCCCGCTCCGTCACTCTCACTCACTCTCTCTCTCTCTCTCTCTCTCTCTCTCTCTCTCTCTCTCTCTTCTCTCTATTACCCCGCAGTGCCATAAAATCTTTTGCGTAATATCGATATCGATAAAAATATAATTAGAGAAGAGTGGATACTTTACAAGTATCATGAAAATTATCAGGAAATCGTATGCTTATCTGCCAATCAAAACGTGAAACGCAAACTTCATGTGCGCCTTTGTTCCTTCGCTATTTTTGTCCATTGCAATGACACGGCAACGCCATCAGGGAATTCATATGTACCAACAATGGCAAGTACGACTACTATAATTTGGACGGTCTGATATATTATTAACAATATTTGTTAAGATACGCGAGCGCATATGCCGAATCATAAACGCGAACCATTTTCCATTTCTCGTGTGCGTTTGCCGGATTTGCCATCCGGTAAATGACGCACATTCGTCAGAATGTCGTATTCGCGCCTACGCGAAGGAACTCGCGATTGTGGCTTGACGAACATGAAGCGAAGCAGCCCGAAAAATCTATCGATTGACGGCAAAGCCGAGTCAAGAATCGATGACCCGGGGGCTCGGCAAGTAAAGCCCGCGAGAGCATCTCATTAACCGACGTAGAATAATCTCGTTAACGAAGAATCGTATCGCCCACGAGTACGCGACGAGCACGCGATACGAAACCGAGTGATTAGCCTTAATGCGGACTTTTCCCCTTGGGCTCCTTAGCCGCGGATATAATAGCGGCAGTGGTGCACCACACCACCGCCACCACCGTCACCACCATCATCACCGTCATCACCGTCACTTCCTTCTCTTCGCAATGCGCAATATCGGGGACAAAAGGAATGCAGGCCTCCAAGGTGCCCCATCGCACTTATCGGGACCCAATCAACGGCGCATTGACGCTTGAAACGCGCTAATTGCGTATGGGCGGGAATAATCGCACACGGCATTAGATGTCGGCTAATAATATTGGTGACGGCAGCGGCGGTGGCGGTGGCGGTCGCTGCGGTTCTTGCACGTAACGCGCGAGGCGTCGCGGGGTTTGGGAAAGGGAAACTTGGGCGACGGACGTGACTCTGATCGCTTCGGCCTCTCTCCCTCGATATTACGGAAGGAGTGGGATTTTTCATCCGAAGAACGGTTATTCTCCTCGTTCCGTTGGTACATGGCTCTGTGGCTCGATCTTACCCATACCTTAAATGTCCGAGATTTATTTTATACTCACTGTACCCCAGACTCTCCCTCAACTATATCAACTATAAATGGCATGTTTGCACGATGAACGTTTCATTTTTTTTCCTTTTTTTTCCCTTTTTTTTCCTTTTTTTTTTTTTTTTTATCACAGGCAAATTTGACGATAGGATATTTTTAGATATTGTCGCAACTCCACATACGTTACGTCTCACATACCTACACATGTAAATAATTGATAATGACAAGGGCGCAGTCATAATCTTTCATTCTATCTCCAATTAAAATTATTAAAATCAATGATTACGTAAAAGGGTATTCATTTTGAGTGGAAAGATTATTAACGTGGATTTTGAAATGCCGAAAATAATATTCGAAATTAGCGTAATAACTTAATACCGAGTAATATTTAATAAAGTATTTGAATTTTATTTTAATACTTGTTATAAAAGATTTTAAAGTGGAACAAACGTTTGCATTCGACCGTTACAGTTATAACAAAATTATCGAGGAATATTATTCATTATTTCCAATATCAAAGTATTCCATTTAGCTCATAATTTTTTAATACATAATATTTTGCAATAATAGAATTGAAAATTTAGACTTGCTTTTGTTCAAATTATTGAAGCATCAAATTATAAATCAAGGAGAAAGCACTAATTCCTTTATTCCATCCATATTCCATTTCAATTTATAAAATTGGTCGCTGCATTAGCTTTCTTATTGCTTATATACTTAATCCTCGATACCTTAGTCATTTTAATATTACCATAATAACTGCTTGGCGCAATTAATTTTAACATTCGGTGTACACTATGCCTTCGTACCATATCAATTATTATTCGTATGTAAACTGACTGGTCAGCCTGTAAATATTATCAACAAGCACTATTTACATTGGATCTTATGCGTAGTCTTCCACTTTGCAAAAAATAATATTTCACATACATGAATGTATTAATCATTACCTTTGAATAATGTTTTCACAAAATAATGTTTATTTAATGTACCATTTACCGAATCAATATTAAAAATTTATACTTTAATAATTGCACATGAGTGTTAAATGCTTTTTCATTGTTGTTGCTTAAAATGTATGAAAGGTCATCATTATTTTTCAGTTGATCCGATATAGTTTTAATCCATTAATTTAGAAACATTAATATTTTATCTATGATGATGAAAAGTTCTTAGAATACAATTGAATTATTAGTACATATTAACTTTAAGCGATCTCTCACTTGCTTCTATTAACGTATATTAACAATTGACATTGATTTTACTTTATAATCGATAATTTTTATTAATTTTTATTAATTTTTATACTTAAATATGTGCAATAGTATATTAACGGTAATACGAATATTATAGAAACATAATTTTTTTTATCTATTAATAACCATTTCAGGTTAAATATTATATTTTTCAAAAATAACAATTTAACTATTATATGATAATAAATCTTATTTCATGCTTCAAAGTCACGGTTTTGTTTAATTGGCCTTTAGATTTTATGAAAAAAAGAAACAAACAAAAAAAAATAATATATATATATATATATATATATATAGAAATAAATAAATAAAAGCAAACAAAAAAAAATAATATATATATATATATATATATATATATATAGAAATAAATAAATAAATAAAATGAAAATCCAGTAGTTTGACAAACCTTGAAGGTTATATTTCTGCTAATATAAATAATATGTAAGTCAATTGAATTAATTTAGGTGCAAAACAAAAAGCTTTAAGAGCCGTTAATTTGGAGAATGTATTTAAGCATTAA